AATCTGTGGAAATTCCAGCAGGAAAAGCCCCAGATCCCTGGGGAAAAAACCCCAAATCCATTGGAATTCCATCCCATAAAAATCCAAATCCATGGGACAAAACCCCAAATCCATGGGAGAAAACCCCAAATCCATGGGAATTCCAGCAGGAAAAACCCCAAACCCATGGGAATTCCAACAGGAAAAACCCCAAAACCGTTGGAAATCCATCACAAAAATCCCAAACCTGTGGGAATTCCAGCAGGGAAAACCCCAAACCCATGGGGAAAAAACCCCAAATCCACGGGAATTTCTAGCAGGAAAAACCCCAAAATCCGTGAGAATTCTGCCAGTGAAAACCCCAAATCCGTGGGAGAAAACCCCAAATCCTTGGGAATTCCAATAGGAAAATCCCCAAATCCGTGGGAAAAAACCCCAAATCCACGGGAATTCCATTAGAAAAAACCCCAACTCCATGGGAATTCCATTAGGAAAAACCCCAAATCCACGGAAACTCCAGGAGGGAAACCCAGAGATCTGTGGCAGAAAATCCCAAATCCGTGGGAATTCCAGCAGAAAAAAACCCAAATCCATGGGGAAAACCCCAAATCCACAGAAATTCTAACAGGAAAAATCCCAAATCTGTGGAAATTCCAGCAGGGTAAGCTCCAAATCACTGGGGAAAAACCCAAACCCCATGGGAATTCCTGCAAGAAAACCCCAAATCTGTGGGGAAAAACCCCAAATCCACGGGGAAAAACCCCGAATCTGTGGGAATTTCAGCAGGAAAAGCCCCAAATCCATGGGAGAAAACCCCAAATCCCTGGGGAAAAACCCCAAATCCATGGGAATTCCTGCAAGAAAACCCCAAATCCGTGGGGAAAAAACCCCAAATCCATGGGGAAAAACCCCAAATCTATGGGAATTCCTGCAAGAAAACCCCAAATCCGTGGGGAAAAACCCCAAATCCATGGGAATTTCAGCAGGAAAAGCCCAAATCCATGGGAGAAAACCCCGAATCAGCGAGAATTCCATCAGAATAAAACCCCAACTCCGTGGGAATTCCATCCAGAAAAAAACCCAAATCCATGGGGGAAAACCCCAAATCTGTGGGAATTCCAGCAGGAAAAATCCCAAATCCGTGGGAATTCCAGCAGGGAAAGCCCAAACCCATGGGGAAAAAAAACCCCAAATCCACGGAATTTCTAGCAGGAAAAGCCCCAAAATCCGTGAGAATTCCGTCAGTGAAAACCCCAAATCCTTGGGAATTCCATCAGGAAAATCCCCAATCCGTGGGAGAAAAAACCCAAATCCATGGGAGAAAACCCCAAAATCCATGGGAATTCCAACAGGAAAATCCCAAACCCATGGGAATTCCATTAGGAAAAACCCCAAATCTGTGGGAATTCCTACAGGAAAAGCCTCAAATCCATGGGGAATAACCCAAAAACTGTTTGGAATTCCTGCAAGAAAACCCCAAATCCATGGGAGAAAACCCAAAATCCATGGGAATTCCAACAGGAAAATCCCAAATCCATGGGAAATTCCATTAGGAAAAACCCCAAATCTGTGGGAATTCCTACAGGAAAAGCCCCAAATCCATGGGAGAAAAACCCAAATCCGTGGGAATTCCACTAGGAAAATCCCCAAATCCATGGAAACTCCCAGTAGGGAAACCCAGATCTGTGGCAGAAAATCCCAAATCCGTGGGAATTCCTGCATGAAAAACCCCAAATCCATGGGGGAAAACCCAAATCCACAGAAATTCTAACAGGAAAAATCCCAAATCTGTGGAAATTCCTGCAGGGTAAGCTCCAAATCACTGGGGAAAAACCCAAAACCCATGGGAATTCCTGCAAGAAAACCCCAAATCTGTGGGGAAAAACCCCAAATCCACGGGGAAAAACCCCGAATCTGTGGGAATTTCAGCAGGAAAAGCCCCAAATCCATGGGAGAAAACCCCAAATCCCTGGGGAAAAACCCCAAATCCATGGGAATTCCTGCAAGAAAACCCCAATCCGTGGGGAAAAACCCCAAATCCATGGGGAAAAACCCCAAATCTATGGGAATTCCTGCAAGAAAACCCCAAATCCGTGGGGAAAAACCCAAATCCATGGGAATTTCAGCAGGAAAAGCCCAAATCCATGGGAGAAAACCCCCGAATCAGCGAGAATTCCATCAGAATAAAACCCCAACTCCGTGGGAATTCCATCCAGAAAAAAACCCAAATCCATGGGGGAAAACCCCAAATCTGTGGGAATTCCAGCAGGAAAAATCCCAAATCCGTGGGAATTCCAGCAGGAAAGCCCAAACCCATGGGGAAAAAAAACCCCAAATCCACGGGAATTTCTAGCAGGAAAAGCCCCAAAATCCGTGAGAATTCCGTCAGTGAAAACCCCAAATCCTTGGGAATTCCATCAGGAAAATCCCCAAATCCGTGGGAGAAAAAACCCCAAATCCATGGGAGAAAACCCCAAAATCCATGGGAATTCCAACAGGAAAATCTCCAAATCCATGCGAATTCCATCCCATAAAAATCCAAAACTCATGGGGAAAAACCCCAAATCCATGGGAGAAAACCCCAAATCTGTGGGAATTACGTTAGGAAGAACCACAAATCCATGGGAATTCTGTCACAAAAAGCCCCAAATCCATGGAAATTCTAACAGGAAAAGCCCCAAATCCATGGGAGAAAACCCCATATCCATGGGAATTCCATCAAAAAACCCCAAATCCCCAGTCTCTCCATGAGGGGTTAACCAAGGGACACCGATCCCGATTTTCCCGGAGTTTTTTCCGCCGCTCACGTCCCGGGGGTTCCCGGTTTTATTTCAGGGAGCGATCCTGAGTGAACCCTTTGGATCTGCTCTGAAAAAACCCAAATCCATGGGGGGAAAGCCCCAAATCCATGGGGAAAACCCCCACTCCTCGGTCTCTCTATGAGGGGTTAACTCGGCGGGGGAACGGGACACCGCTCCCGATTCTCCCGGAATTTTTCCGCCGCTCATGTCCCGGGGGTTCCCGGTTTTATTTCAGGGAGTGATCCTGAGTGAACCCTTTGGATGTGCTCTGAAAAACCCAAATCCATGGGGGAAAGCCCCAAATCCATGGGGGAAAAAAACTCAAATCCATGGGGGGAAAGCCCCAAATCCATGGGGAAAACCCCCACTCCTCGGTCTCTCTATGAGGGGTTAACACGGGGAGGGGAACGGGACACCGCTCCCCGATTTTCCCGGCGTTTTTCCGCCGCTCACGTACCGGGGGTTCCCGGTTTTATTTCAGGGAGCGATCCTGAGTGAACCCTTTGGATCTGCTCTGAAAAACCCAAATCCATGGGGGGAAAGCCCCAAATCCATGGGGGAAAACCCCCACTCCTCGGTCTCTCTATGAGGGGTTAACCCGGGGAGGGGAACGGGACACCGCTCCCGATTTTCCCGGAGTTTTTCCGCAGCTCACGTCCCGGGGGTTCCCGCTTTCCCTGGCAGGCCACGCTGGCCCTGGATGAGCTCATGTCTGTGCCGGAGGCGGCGGCCGCGGTGCTGGAGCGATTCCCGGCGCTCTTCCCGGCGCTGCTGCTGCGCCTCGGCTGCGCCCTGGGCGTGCGGCTGCCGCGGGCCCTGCAGGGCCGGGACAGGGCCGGCCTGCAGCCCTGCAGGTGCGGAATGGGGGAAAAATGGGAATTAATGAGGGAAAAGTGGGGAAAAAATGAGAATTCTGTGGGGAAAAGTGGTGATTCTGTGGAGAAAAGTGGGGATTCCCTGAGGGTGCGGCTGCCGCGGGCCCTGCAGGGCCGGACAGGGCCGGCCTGCAGCTCTGCAGGTGCGAGAAAATGGGAATTAATGAGGGGAAAATGGGGAAAAAATGGGGGAAAAATGGAGAAAAAAAGGGGAAAAAGTGGGGAAAAAATGGGGAAAAAATGAGAATTCTGTGGGGAAAAGTGGTGCATCTGTGGGGAAAAGTGGGGATTCCCTGAGGGTGCGGCTGCCGCGGGCTCTGCAGGGCCGGGACAGGGCGGCCTGCAGCCCTGCAGGTGCGAAAAAATGGGAAATCTGTGGGGAAAAGTGGGGAAGAAATGGGAATTCTGTGGGGGAAAAGTGGTGATTCTGTGGGAAAAAGTGGGGATTCCCTGAGAGTGCGGCTGCCGCGGGCCCTGCAGGGCCGGGACAGGGCCGGCCTGAAGCCCTGCAGGTGCGGAATGGGGGAAAATGGGGAAAAAATGGGGAAAAAAAGGGGAAAAAGTGAGGGAAAAATGGGGAAAAAATGAGAATTCTGTGAGGAAAAGTGGGAATTAATGAGGGGAAAAGTGGGGATTCCCGAAGGTGCGGCTGCCGTGGGCCTTGCAGGGCTGGACAGGGCCGGCCTGCAGCCCTGCAGGTGCGGAATGGGGGGAAAAAATGGGAATTATGAGGGAAAAGTGGGGAAAAAAATGGAATTCTGTGGGGAAAAGTGGGGATTCGGTGGGGAAAAGTGGGGATTCCCTGAGGGTGCAGCTGCCGCGGGCCCTGCAGGCCGGGACAGGGCCGGCGGCAGCCCTGCAGGTGCGAAAAAATGGGAAATCTGGGGGAAAAGTGGGGAAAAATAGGAATTCTGTGGGGAAAAGTGGGGGAAAAATGGGAATTCTGTGGGGAAAAGTGGTGATTCTGTGGGGAAAAGTGGGGATTCCCTGGGGGTGTGGCTGCCGCGGGCCCTGCAGGGCCGGGACAGGGCCGGCCTGCAGCCCTGCAGGTGCGGAATGGGGGGAAAATGGGGAAAAAATGGGGAAAAAATGGGGAAAAAAAGGGGAAAAAGTGGGGTAAAAATGGGAAAAAATGAGAATTCTGTGGGGAAAAGTGGTGATTCTGTGGGAAAAGTGGGGATTCCCTGAGGGTGCGGCTGCCGCGGCCCTGCAGGGCCGGGACAGGGCCGGCCTGCAGCCCTGCAGGTGCGAAAAAATGGGAAATCTGTGGGGAAAAGTGGGGAAAAAATGGGAATTCTGTGGGGAAAAGTGGGAATTAATGAGGGGAAAAGTGGGGATTCCCTGAAGGTGCGGCTGCCGCGGGCCCTGCAGGGCCGGGACAGGGCCGGCCTGCAGCCCTGCAGGTGCGGAATGGGGGGGAAAAATGGGAATATTGAGGGAAAAGTGGGGAAAAAAATGGGAATTCTGTGGGGAAAAGTGGTGATTCTGTGGGAGAAAAGTGGGGATTCCCTGGGGGTGTGGCTGCCGCGGGCCCTGCAGGGGCCGGGACAGGGCCGGCCTGCAGCCCTGCAGGTGCGAGAAAATGGGAATTAATGGGGGGAAAATGGGGAAAAAAATGGGGAAAAAAAGGGGAAAAAGTGGGGAAAAAATGGGGAAAAATGAGAATTCTGTGGAGAAAAGTGGTGCATCTGTGGGGAAAAGTGGGATTCCCTGAGGGTGTGGCTGCCGCGGGCCCCTGCAGGGCCGGGACAGGGCCGGCCTGCAGCCCTGCAGGTGCGAAAAAATGGGAAATCTGTGGGGAAAAGTGGGGAAAAAATGGGAATTCTGTGGGGAAAAGTGGGGGAAAATGGGAATTCTGTGGGGAAAAGTGGGGATTCCCTGAGGGTGCGGCTGCCGCGGGCCCTGCAGGGCCGGGACAGGGCCGCCTGCAGCCCTGCAGATGGGGAAATGGGGGAATTTCCGTAGAGTAAAGAGGGGAAAAGTGTGAATTCTGATGGGAATTTCATGGGAAAAGGTTGGGAATTCCCTGGGGAAAGCGTGGGGAACAGTGGAAATTCTGTGGGGGAAAGTGGGAATTCCCTGGGGAAAAGGTGTGATTTTTGTGGGAAAAAGTGGGAATTCTGCAGGGATTCTGTGGGGAAAGGCAGGTATTCTGTGGGGAAAAGTGGGAATTCTGTGGGGGAAAAGTGGGAATTCCCTGGGGAAAGGGTGGGAATTTTTGTGGGGATTCCATGGGGAAAAGTGGGGATTCTATGGGGAAAAGGCGGGGGAAGTGTGGAAAAGTGGGGATTCCATAGGGAAAACTGGGGAAAACTGGAATTCCATGGGGGGAAAGGGTGGGAATTCAATGGGGGAAAGAGCAGGAATTCTGTGGGAATTCCTTGGGGAAACAGTGAGGATTCCATGTGAATTCTGTGGGAAAAGGTGAGAATTCTGTGAGAATTCCTTGGGGAAACGTGGGAATTCTGTGGGAGAAGGTGGGAATTCTATGGGAAATTCCATGGGAAAAGGAAGTTTGGGGGGGAAACGGGGGTGGGATGATGGGGTTTGTGGGATTGATGGGAATTATGGGATGAGATTTATGGGATTTATGGGATTTATGGGATTTTTGGGAGGGAATGGATGGGATTGATGGGATTTATGGGATGGGATTTATGGGGTTTATGGGATAAGATATGGGATAATGGGATGGGATCTATGGGAGGGATGGGATAATGGAATTTATAGGATTTATGGGATGGGATAATGGGATAATGGGCTGGGAATTATAGGATTTATGGGATGAGATAATGGGATAATGGGCTGGGATTTATAGGATTTATGGGATAATGGGATGGGGTGGGATGGGATCCATGGGATGGGATTTGTTGGATTTATGGATTTATGGGATGGGATAATGGAATAATGGGATGGGATGGGATGGGATGGGATGGGATGGATGGGATGAGATGGGATTGGATGGGATGGGATGTTGGAGCAGATTTCCCAAAAAAAGGAGGAATGGGGGAGTGAATTCCAGGGAAATTGGGGCTACCCCATCCCTGGAATTGTCCCATGGAAAAACTGGGGAATGGGCTGATCCCAAAATTCCCTCCATCCCAAACCAGCCCAGAATTCCATGGGCACCCCTGGAACTGCCCCATGGGAATGGGATCATCCTTAAATCCCCTCCCTTCCCACCCCATTCCCACATTCCAGGATTTCCCCAAACCCGACAGAACCCAAGCTTTCCTTAATTAATTAGTCTTTAATTAATCCCAGAGGCTCCGAGGCCTCTCCAGCACTCCAGGATTTTTTTTTTCCCTGGAATTTTCCCATTCCCATTCCTTGTCCCGCTTTTCCCTGGGCCATCCAAAACAGGGAAATCTCCACTGGCATCTTTCCACCTCCTCTGGGAGATTTTTGGGAAAACTCCCGGATTTTCCATCGGGAATCCATCCTTGGGCCTCATCCTTGGGTTTTCCTGGATCCTTTGGAATCACAGAATGGCCGGGGTTGGAAAACCTCTGGGATGATTCAGTGGGATCCTGGATCTTTTGGAATTATGGAATGGCCGAGACTGGAAAACCTCTGGGATGATCCCATCCCATCCAACCATGAATCCAAGGATGCTCCAGATCCCAGGGAATGTTTTCCAGGGTGATCCCCATATTTGGGATCTGTTTTCCATCATTATTCCCAAATTTCCAGCATTCCAGGGGCTGCCCTGGAATCCTCGGGGTTCTCCCACCCCCCACAATTCCCTGGGGAACGGGACAAATCCCGATGGGGAAATCCGGGACGGCAGCTCCGAGGGGCAATCCCGAATCCCGGATTCCCTTCGTGTGTGGGATCCCCATTCCGACAGCCGGGATTTATCCCTGGCTCCCCTTGCCGGTGTTTTGACGGGATAACGGATCTGTTCCAGATGTTGCTCCGCGGCAGAGCAGTCCCAGCCCTATAAATCCTTCGTTCCGTGAAAAAATATTTCCCTCAAGTAGCTCCGGAGTTTTTCCCTTCCCGGTTTTTTTGTCTTGGATCCGGTTCCCGGTGCGCTGGGAGGGCTCCAGCTCCAGCATTCCCCAGGCACGGGATTCCCTTGGGATGTCCTGGATGGAGCCAGAGCCAATCCCGAATCCAATCCCAAATCCAGTCCCAAATCCAATCACAAATGCAGTTCTGAATCCAATCCCAAACCCAAACCTGAATCCAGTCCTAAACTCAGTCAGAATCCAATTCCAGATCCAATCCCAAACCCAGTCGCAAACCCAATCCCAAATCCACTCCTGAATCCAATCCTAAATCCAATTCCAAACCCTAATCCAATTCCAAATCCAATTCCAGATCCAATCCCAAATCCAGTCTGAATCCAATCCTAGATCCAATTCCAAATCTAATCCTAAATCCAAGTCCAAATCCAATACCAAATCCAATCCCAAACCCAATCCCAGATCCAGTCCTAAACTCAGTCAGAATCCAATTCCAGATCCAATTCCAGATCCAGTCCCACATCCACCCCAGATCCAATCCTGAATCCAGTCCTAAATCCAATCTCAAACTCAATCCCAAATCCAATCACAAACCCAATCAAAATCCAATCCCAAACCCAATCCCAATCCGAAATCCAGTCCCATATCCAGTCCCAAATCCAATACCAGATCCAGTCCCAAACGCAATCCCAAATCCATTCCTGAATCCAATCCCAAATCCAGCCCCAGATCTAATCCCAAACCTAAATCCAATCCTGAATCCAAACTCAATCCCAAATCCAGCCCCAGATCCAGTCTGAATCCAATCCCAAATCCCATCCCAGATCCAATCCCAAACCCAATCCTAAATCTAATTGCAAATCTGATCCAAAATCCAACTCCAGATCCAGTCCTGAATCCAATCCTAAACCAAATCCCAGATCCATTCCTAAACTCAGTCAGAATCCAATCCCAGATCCAATCCCAAATCCACTCCAGATCCAATCCCAAACCCAATCCTGAATCCAGTCCAAAACCCTATCAAAATCCAATCCCAATCCCAATCCCAAATCCAGTCCCAAATCCAATCCCAAATCCAGTCCCACACCCAATCCCAGATCCACTCCTAGATCCAGTCCCAAATCCAACTCCAGATCCAATTCCAAACCCAAATCCAATCCTGTGAATCCAAACCCAATCCCAAATCCAATCCCCCAAACCCAATCCCAGGTTCAATCCCAAACCCAACCCTGAATCCAATCCCAAACCCAATCCTGAATCCAATCCTAAATCCAATCCCAACCCAATCCCAGATCCAATCCTAAACCCAATTTGAATCCAATCCCAAACCTAATCCTGAATCCAGTCCAAATCAATCCCAAATCCAGTCCCAGATTCAATCCTAAATCCAATTCCAAAGCCAATCCCAGATCCAATCCTAAATCCAATTCCAAATCCAATACCAGATCCAATCCCAAATCCAATCCCAAACCCAATTCCAAATCCAACCCCAGGTGGAATCCCAAATCCACATGCAATCCCAACCCCAATCCAAACTGAATCTGAATCCAAGCCAGATCCACTTTCAGATCCAATCCCGAACCCAATCTCAAATGCAGCCCCAGATCCCATCCAGATCCCAATTCCAAATCAAATCCAATCGCAAACCCTAATTCAATCCTGAACCCAATCCCAGATCCAACCCCGGATCAAATCCGATCCCAAATCCAACCCCAAACCCAATCCCAAACCGAGTCTGAATCCAATCCAGGTCCAATCCAAATCCAATCCCAAACCCAATCCCAAATCCAAAACCAACCCGAAATCCAATCCCAAATCCAATCCCAAATCCAGTCTGAATCCAATCCTAGATCCAATCGCAAACCCAAATCCAATCCCGAATACACTCCAAATCAGTCCTAGATCCATTCCCAAACCCAATCTCAAATCCAATCCCAAATCAATCCCAAACTGAATCTGAATCCAATCCAAATCCAATCCTGAATCCAATCTTGAACCCAATCCCAAATCCAATCCTGAATCCAATCCCAAATCCAATCCCAAACCCAAATCCAATCCTGAATCAACCCCAAACCCAATCCCAAACTGAATCTGAATCCAATCCCAGGTCCAGTCTCAAATCCAATCCCAAACCCAATCTCAAATGCTGCCCCAGATCCCATCCCAATCCTGATCCCAATCCCAAACCCAATCCCAAAATGAATCTGAATCCAATTCCAGACCCAATCCCAGATCCAACCCCAGATCCATTCCCAAATCCAATCCCAAATCCAACCCAAAGTCCAATCCCAAATCCAACCCCAAACCCCATCCCAAACCCAATCCCAAACTGAATCCAATCCTAGCTCCAATTCCAGACTCCAACCCCAAACCCCATCCCAAACCCAATCCCAAACTGAATCCAATCCTAGATCCAATTCCAGACCCAATCTTGAAGCCAATCCCAAATCCAATTCCAAATCCAATTCCAGATCCAATCCCAAATCTAATCACAATCCCAAATCCAATCCTGAATCCAATCCCAATCCCAAATGCATTCCAAATCCAATCCCAAATCCAACTCCAGGTCGAATCTCAAATCCAGTCCCAAATCCGATCTCAAACAGAATCTGGATCCAACCCTAGATCCAATTCCAGACCCAATCTTGAACCCAATCCCAAATCCAGTCCCAAATCCAATCCCAAACTCAATCCCAAATCCAGCCCCAGATCCAATCCCGAATCCAATCCCAAATCCAACCCCAGGTCGAATCCCAAATCCAGTCCCAAACCCAATCCCAAACTGAATCTGAATCCAAGCCCTGATCCAATTCCAGACCCAATCTTGAACCCAGTCCCAAATCCAGCCCCAGATCCCACCCAATCCCAAACTCCCAAACTCAATCCCAGTCCCAAATCCCTATCAAAATCCAATCCCAATCCCAGATCCAGTCCCAAATCCAATCCCACATCCAGTCCCAAACGCAATCCCAAATCCAATTCCAAATCCAATTCCAATTCTGTGAATCCAAACCCAATCCCAAATCCAATCCCAAACCCAATCCTGAATCCAGTCCCGAATCCTATCCTGAATCCAGTCCAAATCCAATCCTCAATCCAATCCCAAATCCAGTCCCAGATCCAATCCTAAATCCAATTACAAAGCCAATCCCAGATCCAATCCTAAATCCAATTCCAAATCCAATCCTGAATCCGATACCAATCCCAAATCCAGCCCCAGATCCAATCCCGAATCCAATCCCAAATCCAACCCCAGGTCGAATCCCAAATCCAGTCCCAAACCCAATCCCAAACTGAATCTGAATCCAAGCCCTGATCCAATTCCAGACCCAATCTTGAACCCAGTCCCAAATCCAGCCCCAGATCCCACCCAATCCCAAACTCCCAAACTCAATCCCGATCCCGCTCCCAATCCCGATTTTCCAGCTGTGCGGTGCAGACGCTGAGGGCGATGCTGGCGCGCGCCGGGAACGACGACGTCGTGCGGGACGTGGGGAGCGCCGGGGGCTGGGAACTGATGGAGATTCCCGAGCGGCACCATGACGGAATCGCCCTCCTGGCCAGGTGGGGAATCCTGGGGGAGATTCCCAGGGAATTCCGCGGGTTTGGGGTGGGGTGGGATCACTTTGCACCCGGGAATGTGGACGGGTGGAGGCAGCTGGAGATGGAAGTTGGTCCTGCTGTGGAATTCCTGATGTCTCCGATCCCAGTATGGAATTCCCGGTGTCAGCCACCCCAAAATGGGATTGCTGGTGTCTCTAATCCCAGTATGGAATTCCCGGTGTCTCCAATCCCAGTATGGAATTCCCAGTGTGTCTGATCCCAAAATGGGATTCCCGGTGTCTCCAATCCCAGTATGGAATTCCCAGTGTCACTTACCCCAAAATGGGATTCCCAGAGTCTCCAATGCCAGTATGGAATTCCCAGTGTCTCCAGTCCCAAAATGGGATTCCTGGTGTCTCCAATCCCAAAATGGAATTCCCAGTGTCTCCAATCCCAGGATGGAATTCCCAGTGTCAGTGTCACCCATTCCAAAACGGGATTCCCAGTGTCTCAAATCCTAGTATGGAATTCCCAGTGTCTCCAATCCCAAAATGGGATTCCTGGTGTTTCCAATCCCAGCATGGAATTCCCAGTGTGTCTGATGCCAAAACAGGATTCCCAGTGTCTCCAATCCCAGTATGGAATTCCCAGTGTCACTTATCCCAAAATGGGATTCCTGGTGTCTCCAGTCCCAGTATGGAATTCCCAGTGTGTCTGATCCCAAAATGGGATTCCTGGTGTCTCCAATCCAAGTATGGAATTCCCAGTGTCTCCAGTCCCAAAATGGAATTCCCAGTGTCTCTGATCCCAGTGCAGAATTCCCGATGTCCCCAATCCGTCTGCAGAATTCCCGGTGTCTCCGATCCCACAATTTCCCACCCATCCTGCATTTCCCAAAGGTCCCCATGGAAAACTCCTCCCTTTTCCTGCTGCATCCCTGGAATTCCTGGATTATCCTGGTGCATCCCATCCCATCATTTGAGAATTATGGGAAAAAAATCCCCAAATATTTGGGAATAACTGGGACTGGGAATATCCAACTTTTGGGGAACCCATCCCAAAGAAAACCCGGATGGGGTGTCCGGGATGTTCCAGATCGTTCCCTGTGGGTCAATCCCGGTTTTCAGTGCTGGGTGTGGTCCTGCCTGGGGACAGGGATTCCAGGGATTCCCAGGATTCCCAGGATTCCCGGAATTCCGAGGATTGCTGGGATTGGTGTACCCCCAGGGCGATGGCTCGGCTCTGCGGGCCCCGGCTGCCGCCCATCGTCCGGAGCCTCATCCCGGTGCTGGGAAGCGCCTTGGAATGCCAGAGAGTGACCAGCAGCGCCTTCCTGGCCGAGGTGAGTGGGAAACGCGGGAATGTCCGGATGGGCTGCACTCCATGCATCCCATGGATCCGTCCGTCCATCCATCCATAGATCATCCATCCATCCATCCATCCATCCATCCATCCATCCATCCATCCATCCCATCCATGGTTCCATGGATTCATCCATCCATTCATGGTTCCATGGATTCATCCATCCATCCATGATTCCATGGATTCATCCATCCATCCATGGATCTGTTCATGGATCCATCTATCCACCCGTCCATCCATCCATCCACCCATCCATCCATTCATCCATCCACCTATGGATTCATCCATGGATCTGTTAATGGATCCATCCATGGATTCATCCGTGTATTTATCCATCCATGGATGTATCCATCTATCCATCCATGAATCTATCCATGGATCTATTCATGGATCCATCCATCATCCATCCATCATCCATGAATCCATCCATGGATCCATCCATGGATCCATCCATCATCTATGGATTTATCCATGGATCCCTCCATCCATCCATCATCCATGGATTTATCCATGGATCCATCCATCCATTCATGGTTCCATGGATTCATCCATCCATCCATGGATCTATCCATGGATCCATCATCCATCCATCCATCCATCCATGGATCTATCCATCCATCCATCCACCTATGGATTCGTCCATGGATCTGTTCATGGATCCATCCATGGATTCATCCGTGTATTTATCCATCCATGGATGTATCCATCCATCCATCCATGGATCTATCCATGGATCTATTCATGGATCCATCCATCCATCCATCCGTCATCCATCCATATATCCATCCATGGATCCATCCATGGATCCATCCATCATCTATGGATTTATCCATGGATCCATCATCCATCCATCCATCCATCCATCCATCCATCCATCCATCCATGGATCTGTTCATGGACCCATCCATGGATTCATCCGTGTATTTATCCATCCATGGATGTATCCATCTATCCATCCATGGATCTATCCATAGATCTATTCAGGGATCCATCCATCCATCCATCCATCCATCCATCCATCCATCCATCATCCATGAATCCATCCATGGATCCATCCATCCATTCATGGTTCCGTGGATTCATCCATCCATCCATGGATGCATCCATGGATCTATCATCCATCCCATGGATCCATCTGTCCATCCATCATCCATCCATCCCCCATCCCAAATTCCCAGCTCCTCCTGGATCCCATCCGGGAATCCAGACCCTGCTCAGATCTCTGAGGGTTTCAAATTCCAGCCGGCGCTGCTGGGAAGGAGAAGAAAATTCCAGCAGATCCTCAGGATGAGAGGAACTCCAGACCCAGAGTGGCTCTTTGGAGCCAAAACTTCCCAAATTTCCCCAATCCTGCACCAAAACCATTCCAGACCCCCCAAATCCCACCCCAGCTGAGTTTTCCCTGGATTATCCCAGAGCGGCTCCTCCCGGGAATTCCATCTCCCCCCTCATGGGTCCGGGGGGATTTTCCCGCCGTATCCCGAGGTTTTTTCCCTTCTCCAGCTGCTCAGCCACAACGTGGTGAACGACCTGGTGCTGCTGGAGCCCATCCTGGACGCGCTGACGGCGCTGGAGAAGGATCCCTGCCTCCTGGTGCGCGTCCTGGCGCTCCGCGGGCTCGGCAACGTCGCCTCGGGCTCCCCGGAACAGGTGGGATGGGAGCAGCTCCGGAGATTTGGGATTTGGAGGGGGATTGGGAATGGATTCCCGCTTCCACAGGGGAAGGAATTCCCTACAAAACATCGGGGTGAGGTTTTGTGGCAGCTCCAGGGATTGGGATGCACCGGGAGGCTCTGAATCCTGAAAATCCCGATTTTATGGAGCCATTCCCGGGAGGTCCCGGGACGTGCCAGAGCCTTTCCCCAGCCCCATTTTCCAGGGATACCCAGGAATATTTCGAGGACCTGCAGGAATTCCAGTTGGGATTGGCCTCTTTTTCCAGTTTTTCACGGGAATCCTCGGCCACAAATTCCAGAATTCCACCAAATTCATGGGGAATATTCCTGAAAATCCCACCCTGAGGCCGTTCCCTGGGTTCTGTCCCATTCCCTGGGAGCAGATCCCGCCCTGGATCCCCCTGGATCCCCTCAATCCCACTCTTCTCCAGGATCAGCCCCCCCAGATCCCTCAGACTCTCCTGGGAACTCTCCCATTCCCATTCCCACCAAATCCCTCTTTGCCCAAAATTTCAGGATAATATTCCCAAAAATCCCAACTTGGGCCCATTCCCTCTTTCCCTGTCCCTCTTTCCCTCAGAGCAGATCCCAAACTCCCCCTGGATCCCCTCAATCCCGCTTTTCTCCAGGAACAGCCCCCCACTCCTGGGAACTCCCCCATTCCCATTCCCACCAAATGCCTCTTTGCCCAAAATTTCAGGATAATATTCCCAAAAATCCCAACTTGAGCCCATTCCCTCTTTTCCCATCCCTTTTTCCCTCAGAGCAGATCCCAAACTCCCCCTGGATCCCCTCAATCCCACTTTTCTCCAGGAACAGCCCCCCCAGATCCCTCAGCCACTCCTGGGAACTCTCCCATTCCCAACCATGAACCCACCAAATCCCTGTTTGCCCAAAACTCCAGGAAAATATTCCCAAAAATCCCAACTTGAGCCCATTCCCCCTTTCCCCATCCCTCTTTCCCTCAGAGCAGATCCCAAACTCCCCCTGGATCCCTTCAATCCCAGTTTTTTCCAGGACAATTCCCCCAGCTCCCTCAGCTGCTCACCAGGAATTCCCCATTCCCATTTCACCTGTTTGCCCAAAACTCCAGGGGAATATTCCCAAAAATCCCAACTTGAGCCCATTCCCTCCTTCCCCATCCCTTTTTCCCTGGGAGCAGATCCTGCCCTAGATCCCCCTGGATCCCCTCAATCCCACTTTTCTCAGGGACAATCCCCCCCAGCTCCCTCCCAGGGCTCCGTATCCCGCTTTTCCCGGTTGCGATCCCGCTTTTCCCGGTTGCGATCCCGCTTTTCCCGGCAGATCCGGCGGCACGGCTCGCAGCTGCTGGCCTCCATGGTGAACGGCCTGGACGACAAGGACGATCCCAACAACCTGCTGGCGCTGGAGGCCATGTCCAGCCTCTCCCGGATCCTGGACCGCCTGGAGGAGCGGGACGTGCGGTCCCTGGTGCTGCGCGTCGCCATCCGCATCCGGCCCTTCTTCGACAGCGTGAGGAGCCGGGAATGGCCTTGGCTCCATCCCGTGGGGATCTCCCATCCCAGATTTCTCCCTCGGGCTGGGGTTTCTCCTGGATCTTCATCCGTGCTCCTGTGTTGTGCTTGGGATTGGTCCATTGGGATATTCCCATTGGAACTGTCCCGCTGGGATCGCCCCATTGGGAATTTCCCACTGGAATTGTCCCACTGGGATCGTCCCATTGGGATCGTCCCATTGGTAATTGTCCCATTGGGATCATTCCATTGGAATTGTCCCACTGGGATTGGCCCATTGGGATTTTCCCATTGGAATTTACCACTGGAATTGTCCCACTGGGACCATCCCATTGGGATCGTCCCATTGGTAATTGTCCCGTTGGGATTTTCCCATTGGAATTGTCCCATTGGAATCGTCCCATAGGAATTGGCCTATTGGAATCATCCCATTGGGATTGTCCCATTGGGATTTTCCCACTGGGATTGTCCAATTGGGAATTTCCCACTGGAATTGTCCCACTGGGATCATCCCATTGGGATCGTCCCACTGGTAATTGTTCCATTGGGATCGTCCCATTGGAATCGTCCCACTGGGATTTTCCCATTGGGATTGGCCTATTGGAATTGTCCCATTGGGATCAGCCCATTGGATTGTCTCATTGGGAGTGGCCCATTGGGATTTTCCCATTGGATTATCCCACTGGGATTGTCCCGCTGGGATTTTTCTGTCAGAATTTTCCCATTGGAATTGTCCCACTGGAATTGTCCCACTGGTATAGTCCCATTGGGATTTTTCCATCAGGATTGGACCATTGGAATTGTCCCATTGGGATTGACCCATTGCAGTTGTCCCACTGGAATTGTCCCATTGGAATTGTGCCATTGGAACTTTCCCACCAGGATTATCCCACTGGGATTGGTCCATTGGGATTTTCCCACTGGCGTTGTCTCACTGGGATTGTCCCACCGGAATTGTCCCACTGGGATCATGCCATAAGGATCATCCATTGGGATTGTTCCATTGGGATTTTCCCATTGGAATTGTCCCACCAGGATTGTCCCATTGGGATTGCCCCGTTGGGATTGTCCCACAGGCATTGTCCTGTTGGAATTGCCCCATTGGGATTTTCCCACTGGAATTTTCCCATTCGAATTGTCCCACTGGGATCGTCCCACTGGGATCATCCCATTGGAATTATCCCACTGGGATTGGTCCATTGGGATTTTCCCATTGGAATTATCCCATTGGGATTTTCCCATTGGAATTGTCCCATTTGGACTGGCCCATTGGGATTTTCCCATTGGAATTGTCCCACCAGGATTGTCCCACTGGAACTGTCCCACTGGGATCATGCCATAAGGATCATCCTATTGGTATTGACCCACTGGAATTGTCTCATTGGGATTTTCCCACTGGAATTGGCCCATTGGAGTCGTGCCACTGGAGTTGCCCCACTGGGATTTTCCCACTGGAATTGTCCCATTGGGATTTTCCCATTGGGATTGGCTTATTGGGATTGACCCATTGGAATTGTCCCTATTGGGATTTTACCATCAGGATTTTCCCATTGCAGTTGTCCCATTGGAATTGTCCCATTGGAATTGTCCAGTTGGGAATGTCCCATTGGGATTGGCCCATTGGAATTGTCTCACTGGGATCGTCCCATTTGGATTTTCCCATTGGGATTTTCCCATTGGGATTTTCCCCTTTGGGATTTTCCCATTGCAGTTGTTCCACTGGGATCAGCCCATTGGATTGTTCCGTTGGAATTGTCCCACAGGGATTGTGCCCCAGGCTTGGGAAAACCAGGATGGGAACGGTGGGGAAAGTGGGATTGGGAATGGTGGGAGCACAGGATGGAGATTTTGGGAAAAGCAAGATGGGATTAGTGGGATCCCAGGATGGGAATGATGGGATCCTGGGTTTGGGATTTGGGGATCACAACATGGTGATTTTGGGATCCCAGAATGGGGATTTTGGGATTGCAGGATGGGGATTTTGGAATCACGGGACAGGGAATTTGTGATCACAGGATGTGGATTTAGGGATCTCAGGATGGGAGTGGTGGGATCACAGCGTAGGGATTTTGGGATTTCAAGATGGAAATGGTAGGATTACCAGGATTGGGAATGGTGGGATCACAGGATGTGGATTTGGGGATCTCAGGATGGGATTTTGAAATCAGAGGGTGGGATTTGGGAATCCCAGTTTGGGAATGATGGGAACAGCAGGATGGGATTTTGGGATCCCAGGGTGGGATTTTGGGATCAGAGGATGGGGATTTGGGGATCCCAGGACGGGATCTCTGGGATTCTCCCCCCGCGATTCCCGTTTTCCCCCGTTTTCCCAGGAGCACGCGGAGCTGCGGCACTCCTCCATCCTCCTCTTCGGGAACCTGTCCCGCTTCGGCCGCGCCGACGCCGAGGTTTTCTCGGAGCAGATCCTCAACGGGCTCGTGACGCTCCTGCTGCACCTGCAGGACCCCCAGCCCGACGTGGTCAAGGTGGGGCTCCCCGGGAATTCCCGGGGGTTCGGGACGGGAGATCCGGGGATCCCCCGCGCCCGATTCCCGGCGTTCCCGGTTTTTCCAGGCGTGCAAGTTCGCGCTGAGGATGTGCGGGCCCGGCCTGGGCTGCGAGGGGCTCCGGGAAATGTTCGGGAATCACCTGCGGGAAGAGCGGGGGCTGCACTACGGCGAGTTCATCAACGACGCCGCCAAGTTCCTGGTGCGACATCGAATCACGGGGATTTTGGGATTTTGGGATGTTGGGATGTTGGGATGTTGGGATATTGGGGCATTGGGATACTGGGATGTGTGGGGGCTGCACTACGGGGAGTTCATCAACGATGCCGCCAGGTTCCTGGTGGGACATCGCGGGGATTTTGGGACGTTGGGATGTTGGGAATTTGGGATATGGGGGATACTGGGATATTGAGAAGAGCGGGGGCTGCACTACGGAGAGTTCATCAACGACGCCGCCAAGTTCCTGGTGCGACATCCTCGGGACATCACTGGGAATTTGGGAATTTGGGATTTTGGGATGTTGGGATATTGGGAATTGGGGTATTGGGACATTGGGACATGGGGATATTGAGATATTGGGACATTGGGATATTGGGAAGAGCGGGGGCTGCACTACCGGGAGTTCATCAACAACACCGCCAAGTTCCTGGTGGGACATTGCGGGAATTTTGGGATTTTGGGATATTGGGACATCGGGATTTTGGGATATTGGGATGTTGGGACATTGGGGCATTGGAATATTGGGATATTGGGGCATTGGAATATTGGGATATTGGGAATTTGGGATATTGGGATGTGCGGGGGTTGCACTGCAGGGAGTTCATCAACGACGCCGCCAAGTTCCTGGTGCGACATCATGGGAATTTGGGATGTTGGGACATCGGGATATTTGGATACTGGGACATTGGGACATTGGGACATTGGGACATTGGGACGTTGGGATGTTGGGATATTGGGATTTTGGGATATCAGGATATTGGGATATTGGGACATTGGGACGTTGGGATATGGGGATATTGGGATGTTGGGATATTGAAACATTGGGATATTTGGATATTGGGACATTGGGACATTGGGACATTGGGATATTGAGATATTGGGACATTGGGAATTTGGGATGTTGGGATGTGCGGGGGCTGCACTACGGGGAGTTCATCAACGCCGCCGCCAACTTCCTGGTGGGACATCGCGGGGATTTTGGGACATTGGGGTGTTGGGATGTTGGGAATTTGGGATATGGGGACATTGGGATATGGGGGATATGGGGGATATTGGGACATTGGGACATTGGGATATTGGGATGTTCGGATATTGGGATATTGGGATATTGGGATATTGGGATATTGGGATATTGGAATATTGGGACATTGGGACATTGGGATGTTCGGATATTGGGATATTGGGATATTGGGATATTGGAATATTGGGATGCTGGGACATTGGGATATTGGGACATTGGGATATTGGGATATTGGGATATTGGAATATTGGAATATTGGGATGCTGGGACATTGGGATATTGGGACATTGGGACATTGGGATATTGGGATGTTCGGATATTGGGATATTGGGATATTGGGATGCTGGGATATTGGAATATTGGGACATTGGGATGTTGGGACATTGGGACATTGAGATATTGGGATATTGGGATATTGGGATATTGGGACATTGGGATATTGGGATATTGGAATATTGGGATATGGGGACATTGGGATATTGGGACATTGGGATATTGGAATATTGGGACATTGGGATGTTGGGACATTGGGACATTGGGATATTGGGATATTGGGATATGGGGACATTGGGATATTGGAATATTGGGACATTGGGATGTTGGGATATTGGAATACTGGGATATTGGGATATTGGGATATGGGGACATTGGGATATTGGGATGCTGGGATATTGGGACATTGGGACATTGGGATATTGGGATATTGGGACATTGGGACATTGGGATATTGGGACATTGGGATGCTGGGACATTGGGACATTGGGACATTGGGATATTGGGATATTGGGATATTGGGATATTGGGGCATTGGGATATTGGGACATTGGGATGCTGGGACATTGGGACATTGGGATATTGGGATATTGGAATACTGGGATATTGGGATATTGGGACATTGGGATATTGGGATATTGGGGCACTGGAATTGGACCATGGGGATGTGGGGACATTGAGGCGATGTGGGAATGCCCCCAATGTCCCAAGTGTCTCCAATGTCCCCAGTCCCCCAAGATCCCAATGTCCCCAATATCATCAATATCCCAAACATTCCCAATATTCCAGAAAATCCCCCATTGCCCCCAATGTCCCCAATACCCCCAATCCCCCTCAGTGTCCCCTCTGTCCCTAAAGTCCCCAATCCCCCCAATGTCCCCAAGTCCCCCACTGTCCCCAACATCCCTGATGTCCCCAATGTCCCCAGTGTCTCCAATGTCCCCGATGTCCCTGTTGTCCTCATTGCCCCCGATGTCCCCCATGTCCCCAACGTCCCTGCAGTCCCTGCTGTCCCTGCTGTCCCCATTCCCCCTGATGTCCCCAATGTCCCCAATGTCCCCATTCCCCCTGATGTCCCCAGTGTCCCCACTGTCTATACTGTCCCCAATGTCCCCAGTCTCCCAATGTCCCCTCCGTCCCCGGTGCCCCTGATGTCCCCAGTGTCCCCATTGTCCCCACTGTCCCCAGCATCCCCTCTATCCCCATTGCCCCCAATGTCCTCAGTGTGCACAATGTCCCCCTGATCTCACTGACGTACCCTCTGCCCCCGATGTCCCCAATGTCCCCAAGGTTCCCAGTGTCCCCATTGCCCCCACTGTCCCCGATGTCCCCAGTGCCCCCAAGGTCCCCATTGCCCCCACTGTCCACAATGCTCCCAATGTCCTCAGTGTTCTCACTGTCCCCAACATCCCTGCTGTCCCCACTGTCCCCACTGTCCCCAATGTCCTCTGTGTCCCCAACATCCCCCCTGTCCCAAATCCCCCAGTGTCCCCGATGTCCCCTTCGTTCCCAGTGGCCTCAGTGTCCCCGGTGATGTCAGTATCCCCCTGCTGTCCCCAATGTCCTCAGCAACCCTGCTGTCCCCAATGTCCTCAGTGTCCCCATTGCCCCAAACACCCCCAACGTCCCCAGTGTCCCCAATGTCCCAATGTCCCCAGTTCCCCATGTCCCCAACATCCCCGACATCCCCTCTGTCCCCTCTGTCCCCAGTGTCCCCAATGTCCCCAACATCCTCACTGTCCCCACTGTCCCCAATGTCCCTAGCATTCCCGATGTCCCTAATGTCCCCAGTGTCCCCAGAGTCCCCATTGCCCCCAATGTCCCCAATGTCCCCTCTGTTCCCAGTGCCCCCAACGTCCCCATTGCCCCCAAAGTCCCCATTGCCCCCACTGTCCCTGCTGTCCCCACTGTCCCCACTGTCCCCACTGTCCCCTCTGTTCCCAGTGCCCCCAACGTCCCCAGTGTCCCCCCAGTGTCCCCAATGTCCCCAATATCCCCACTGCCCCACTGTCCCCATTGCCTCCAGTGTCCCCAGTGTCCCTGATGTCCCTGACATCCCCCCGTCCCCAATGTCCCCAGTGTCCCTGATGTCCCCAATCCCCCTGATCTCACTGACATCCCCCCTGTCCCCACTGTCCCCAGTGTCCCCGCTGTCCCCAGTGTCCCCAGTTTCCCAAATGTCCCCAATGTCCCCACTGTCCCCTCAGTGTCCCCACTGTCCCCAATGTGCGCAGTGCCCCCACTGTCCCTGCTGTCCCCAGTGTCCCCAATGTCCCCAGTGTCCCCAATGCCCCCAATGTCCCCAATGCCTTCAATGTCCCCAATGCCCCCTCTGTCCCCATTGCTCCCAATGCCCCCAATGTCCCCCGAGTGTCCCCACTGTCCCCAGTGTACCCTGCTGTCCCCAATGTCCCCAATGTCCCCACTGTCCCCTCAGTGTCCCCAATGTCCCCACTGTCCCCTCAGTGTCCCCACTGTCCCCAATGTCCCCAGTGTCCCCAGTGTCCCCAACGTCCCCTGTCCCCATTGCTCCCAATGCCCCCAATGCCCCCAATGTCCCCCACTGTCCCCAGTGTCCCCAATGTCCCCATTGCCCCCAACGCCCCCAATGTCCCCCCGCTGTCCCCAGTGTCCCCAACGTCCCCTCTGTCCCCATTGCTCCCAATGCCCCCATTGCCCCCACTGTCCCCAGTGTCCCCCCGCTGTCCCCAGTGTCCCCAACGTCCCCAGTGTCCCCGCTGTCCCCAGTGTCCCCAACGTCCCCGGTGTCCCCGCAGATGCGCAGCCACCCCGCGCTGCTGGGCCGCCTCATCTCCACCAACCTCTTCTACTTCAAGAGCCCCTGGCGGGAGCTGCGGGCGGCGGCGGCCATGTTCGTCGGTGAGGGACGGGGACACCGCGGTGGCCTTTGTCACCGGGGGTGGCATCGGTCCCGGGCGTCCCCGAGGGCGTTTGGGCTGGTTCTGGGTGGGTTTAGGACATTCTGGGGGGATTTTGGGGTCTCTGGTGACCCCAGTCTTGTCCCCTGGTAGACTCAGATTTCTGTCCCCCCTTGGTGTCACCACCGTGGTGGCTTTTGTCACCAGGGAGTGACATTGTCCCTGGAGGTTCCCAAGGGGGTTTGGGCTGGTTCTGGGTGGTTCTGGGTCATTTCTGGGGTAATTCAGAAGGTTTTGGGGTCCATCATGACCCCAGTCTTGTCCCTGGGTGGACTTAGGTCCTGTCATCTCTTGGTGTCGCCACAGTGGTGGCTTTTGTCACCAGGGAGTGGCATCGCTCCTGGAGATCCCCAAGGGGTTTTTGGTCCGGTTTCGGTTGTTTTGGATGATCTTGGATGGTTTTTGAGGTAATTTTGGAGGTTTTGGAGTCCCTGGTGACCCTGATCTTGTCCCCTGGTTCTGCCACCTCTTGGTGTCCCCACCGTGGTGGCCTTTGTCACCGGGGGTGGCATCGCTCCTGCAGGTCCATCAAGGGGGTTTGGGCTGGTTCTGGGTGGTTTTGGGACATTCTGGGGGGATTTTGGGGTCTCTGGTGACCCCAGTCTTGTCCCTTGGTAGACTCAGATTTCTGTCCCCCCTTGGTGTCACCACCGTGGTGGCTTTTGTCACCAGGGGTGGCATTGTCCCTGGAGGTTCCCGAGGGGTTTTTGGGCCGGGTTTGGTTGTTCTGGGGTGATCCTGGATGGTTTTTGAGGGAATTTCGAAGGTTTTGGGGTCCCTGGTGACCCTGACCTTGTCTCCAAGCAGACCCTGGTCCTGTCACCTCTTGGTGTCACAGTGGTGGTTTTTGTCACCTGGAGGTGACATTGTCCCTGGAGGTCCCCGAGGGGTGTTTGGGCCGGTTTGGGCTGTTTTGGGTGATCCTGGATGGTTTTTGAGGGAATTTTGGAGATTTTAGGGTCCCTGGTGACCCCAAACTTGTCCCTGGCCCTGTCACCTGTTGTGGTCTCAGTGGTGGCTTTTGTCACCAGGAGGTGACATCGGCCCTGGAGGTCCCCTGAGGGGGTTTGGGCTGGTTTGGGGTGATTTTTGGGGTGATTTTGAAGTTTTTGGGGTCTCTGGTGACCCCAGTGTTGTCCCATGGTGGACTCAGGTCCTGTCACCTCTTGGGGGTCACCACAGGGGTGGCTTTTGTCACCAGGCGGTGACATCGCTCCTGGGGGGTTTCGTGCTGGTTTTGTTCAGTTTTGGGATATTTTTATGGGGCTTTTTTGGGATAATTTTGGGGTTTTTTAAGGAATATTCCAACCCCTGATCCCAAAATTCCCTCCAGGGTTCCTGGTGCTCCACATGGACGAGGAGCAGGGCCAGCAGGTGGACCTGGACCAGCTCATCTCCGGTGAGTGGGAATTCCCAGATTCCTGAATTCCCAAATTCCTGAATCCCTGAATTTCCGAATCCCCAAATCCCCAAACTCCTGAATTTCTAAATTCCCAATGTCCTAAATCCCCAAATTCCCGAATTCTTGAATTCCCAAATCCCTGAATTCCTGAATTCCCGAATCCCCAAATCCCCGAATCCTGAATTTCTGAATTCCCAATATCCTAAATTCCCAAAATCTCAAATTCCCAAAGTCCCAAATCCCCAAATTCCTGAATTCCCGAATCCCCAAATCCCCGAATCCTGAATTTCTGAATTCCCAATATCCTAAATTCCCAAAATCTCAAATTCCCAAAGTCCCAAATCCCTGAATTCCTGAATTTCCGAATCCCCAAATCCCCGAATCCTGAATTTCTGAATTCCCAATATCCTAAATTCCCAAAATCTCAAATTCCCAAAGTCCCAAATCCCTGAATTCCTGAATTCCCGAATCCCTGAATTCCTGAATTTCCGAATCCCCAAATCCCCGAATCCTGAATTTCTAAATTCCCAATATCCTAAATTCCCAAAATCTCAAATTCCCGAATTCCCAAATCCCTGAATTCCTGAATTCCCGAATCCCTGAATCCCCAAACTCCTGAATTTCTAAATTCCCAATATCCTAAATTCTCAAATTCCCAAATTCCCGAAGTCCCAAATCCCTGAATTCCTGAATTTCCACGTTGCCAAATTCCTGAATTTTCAAATCCCCAAACTCCCAAATTCCTGAATTTCCAAATTCCCAGATTTCCACCTTCTAGGGAAAAAAAGCAACTACATTTTGTAGGATCTGTACTTCATATTTGGGGAAAGGTCTGTGTTTTTAGGGCTGAATTACTAAAATTTAGGGGAAAAAAAAATCCCTTTTTTAGGGGGAAAAAAACTCCCCTTTTTACGGGGACTTTTTTTTTTCTCACTTTTTTAGAGAAAAAAAATCACGTTTTCAGGTCAAAATTCCTCATTTTTAGGGGAAAAAATCCAATTATTAGGGAAAAAAATCTCATTTTTAGGGGAAAAAACATCCCATTTTTAGGGGAAAAAAAATCACATTTTTAAGGCTAAAATTCTTCATTTTTATGGAAAAAATTCCCATTAATAGGGGAAAAAATTCCCATTTTTAGGGGAACCAAAACCTATTTTTAAGGGGAAATAAAATCCCATTTTTAGGGACAGAAAATCCCATTTTCCGGCCTTTTTTGGCTCCGTGGCATTGGGGTGATCTCACTTTTCTGGATTTTCGGGATTTTTTCCCCTCTCAGCTCTGACCTCATCCCGTGGAGCCGAGCCCGGAAAATTCCCGACCTTTCCAAGGCAGCCGCAAAAAACTCTAAAAAAGGGAAAAATTCCATTTTCCAGCGGCTCCGAGGGCCCTTCCGGGAGAAAAGGGGGGAGGAGGAATTCGCCCGGAATTCCGGGAATTTTGGGGATCCTGGGGGGGGTTCTCCGATCCCAAAAAATGGGGGATAAACAAGGAAAAAAACTCGGAAAAAAACCATTTAATTTTAATTTTTTGGGATCATCCCAAGCTTTTAGATTTAATTTTTTTAGGGGCCATCCCAAGCCTCTCATTTAAATTTTAGGGGTTTTTTGGGATCATCCCAAACATTTAATTTTTGGGTTTTTGGGATCATTCCAAGCTTTTATTTTTAATTATTTTTTTGGGGGATCACCCAGAACCTTTCATTTCAATTTTAGGGTTTTTTTGGGATCATCCCAAACATTTAATTTTAATTCTTTTGGGATCATCCCAAACTTCTCTTTTTTTTTTTTTTTTTTTTTTTTGGGATCATCCAGAGCCTCTCAATTTAATTTTAGGCTTTTTGGGATCATCTCAAACATTTAATTTTAATTTTTTGGGATCATTTCAAACATTTCCTTTAAATTATTTTTGGGATCATCCCAAGCTTTTATTTTTAATTTAGTTTTTTTTTGGATCATCCAGGGCCTTTCCTTTTAGAGTTTTTTTGGGATCATCACAAACATTTAGTTTTAATTTTAATATTTTGGGATCATCCTGAAGCTTTCATTTTCATTCTAGGGTTTTTGGGATCATCCCAAACCTCTCCTTTAATTTTTTTTGGGGATCATCCAAAGCCTTTCCTTTAAATTTTAGGGGGTTTTGGGATCATCCCAAACATTTAATTTTAGTTTTTTAGGATCATCCCAAACTTTTAATTTTAATTTTTTGGGTTCATGTTGAACCTTTCCATTTTCTTTTTAGGCTTTTTGGGATTTTAATTTTTTAGGATCATCCCAAACTTTTATTTTTAATTTTTTGGGATAATCTCAAGCTTTTAATTTTGAATTTTTTGGGGGGATTTCATCCAGAGCCTTTCCTTTTAATTTTAGGGGGTTTTGGGATCATCCCAAACATTTAATTTTAAGTTTTCAGGATCATCCCAAACTTTTAACTTTAATTTTTTGGAATCATCTACAGCCTTTCCTTTTAATTTTAGGGTTTTTTGAGATCATCCCAAACTTTCACTTCTAATTTTTTAGGGATCATCCAGAGCCTTTCCTTTTAATTTTAGGGGGTTTTGGGATCATCCCAAACATTTAAATTTTTTTTTATCATCCCAGGCTTTTGCTTTTCATTTTTTGGGATCATCCGGAGCCTTTCCTTTTAATTTTAGGGGTTTTGGCATCATCCCAAACATTCAATTTTAACCTTTTGGGATCATCACAATCCAATTAATTTTTGGGACCATCACAATCCAATGAATCCAATCCTGATCCTGATCCTGATCCTGACTCCAGTCCCGACTCCAGTCTGGACCTTGGTCCTGACCCTGATCCTGGTCTTGATCCTGATCCGATCCTGACCCCAAACCTGATCCCAATCCCGATACCAATCCTGAGATCCTGATCCCAATCCTGAGATCCTGATCCCAATCCCAATCCTGATCCCAATCCCAATCCCAACCCAGAGATCCTGATCCCAATCCCGATCCCAATTCTGGTCCCAATCCCAGCCCTGATCCTGATCTCGATCCCAATCCTGATCTTGATCCTGATCCCGATCCCGATCCTGATTCTGACTCCAATCCTGACCCCAATTCTGATCCCGATCCCGATCCCAGTCTCAATCCAAATTCTGATCCTGACCCCAATTCTGATCCTGACTCCAATCCCAATCCCAGTGCTGGTCCTGATCCCAATCCTAACCCAAATTCTAATTCTGATCCCAATCCCAATCCCGATCCTGATCCCAATCCCGATCCTGATCCCAATCCTGATCCCGATCCCAATTCTGGTCCCAGTCCCAGCCCTGATCCTGATCTCGATCCCAATCCCAATCTTGATCCTGATCCCAGTCCCCATCCCAATCCCAATCCCGATTCTAATCCTGATCCCAATCCTGATCCTGACCCCAATTCTAATCCTGATCCCAATCCCAAACCCAATCCCCATCCTAACCCAGAGATCCTGATCCCAATCCTGACTCCAATTCTGATCCCAATCCCAATCTCAATCCTGATCCTGATCCCGATCCCAATCCCGATCCTGATCCCAATCCTGACCCCAATTCTGATCCTAATCCCAATCCTGATTCTGATCCTGACTCCAATCCCAGTCCCAATCCTGGTCCTGATCCCAATCCTGACCCCAGTCCTGATCCCAATCTCAGTCCTCCTGACCCTGGTCCCAATCCCAATCCTAATCCTGATCCCATTCCTGACCCTGACCCCAACCCTGATTTTGATACTGACCCCAATCTTGATCCTGATCCTGCTTCCAAACCCAATCCTGATCTCAATCCCAATCCTGATCCGATCTCAATCCCAATCCTTATCCCATTCCTGATCCTGATCTCGATCCTGATCCCCATCCTAATCCCAATCCTGATTCTGACCCTGATACCGATCCTGACTCCAATTCTGATCCTGATCCTGATTCTGATCCCAATCCCAATCCTGAACCCAATCCCAGTCCTGATCCCGATCCTGGTCCCAACCCTGATCCCGATCCCCATCCTGATCCTGACTCCAGTTCTGATCCCCATCCTGACTCCAATGCTGCCCCCAATCCCAATCCCAATCCCAATTCTGATCCTGATCCCAATCCCAATCCCAATCCTAATCCAGAGATCCTGATCCCAATCCTGACTCCAATTCTGATCCCTGACTCCTCAGTCCTGATCCTGATCCTGATCCCGATCCCAATCCAAATCCTGACCCCAATTCTGATCCTCATCCCAATCCTGATTCTGGTGCTTTCTCCAATCCCAATCCCAATCCCAATCCCAGTCCTGATCCCAATCCTGACTCCAATCCTGATCCCAATCTCAATCCTCCTGATCCCGATCCCGATCCCAATCCCGATCCCAATCCCGATCCCGATCCCCATCCCGATCCCCATCTTGATCCAATCCCAATCCCGATCCCGATCCCAATCCCAATCCCAATCCCAATCCCGTCTCTGCCGTTCCAGCCCTGCAGCTGCTGCTCAAGGATCCGGTTCCAGCCGTGAGGGTCAAGGTGGCCGAAACCCTGGGACGCCTCGTCTGCCTCCTCTGAATCCCGAAATTCCCAAAAATTCCAAAAATTCCCGGGAATTCCCAGCTCCGAGACCCTGGGATGCCTCATCTGCCTCCTCTGAATTCCAGAATTCCTGGGAATTCTCAGCTCTGAGACCCTGGGACTCCTCATCTGCCTCCTCTGAATCCCGGAATTCCCAAAATTCCCAAAATTCCTGGGAATTCCCAGCTCCGCTCAGCAATACCCCGGGGGATCCCAATCCATGGGAAAAGTCTTCCATCACCTCCACCCTCGGGGACAAAAAAAGTGGGAAAACGACCGGAATTCGGGATGGGGTCCATTCCCAGCCCTCCACCCCCGTCCCTCTCTGCTGCTTCCCAGTGGATAACGGGATCTGTTTCCAAAATTCCCACCTGGAATTTCCCCCTGTACAGAGACCTGTTTTTAAGTAAAGCTTTTGGCTCCCGAATTTTGGCTCTCTGGAATTTTGGGATTCCGCAGGATTTGGGGGGTGGGGAGGGGGGATCCCCCCACCGGTGTCTCCATGGGGACGATCCAGGGGTTCCTCCGGCCTCTCATCCACAGCGAAAACCTTGGAATTCCCCGGCTGGTCCTGCCCCGATTCTGTCCCACCTCCGGCTTTGCCTTTGGGATCCTGGCCCAGATCCCATCCCAGATTCCCATTCCAGGTCCCATTCCAGATCCTATTCCAAATTCTTTTCCAAATCCTTTTCCAAGTCCTATTCCAGATCCTAACCCAGATCCCATTCCAGATTCCCATCTCAGTTCCCATTCCAGATCCCATTCCAGGTCTTCTCACAAGTCCTATTCCACATCCCATTCCTATTCCAGATCCCATTCCAGATCCTATTTCAAATGCTATTTCAGATCTATTCCAAATCCTTTTCCAGATCCTGTTCCAGCTCCTATTTCAGATCCCATTCCAGTTCCTATTCCAAGTCCTTTTCCAGACCCCAGTCCAGATCCTATCCCAGATCCCATTCCAGATCCAATTCCAGGTCCCATTCCAGTTCCTATCCCAGACCCAATTCCAGATCTTTTTCCGGACCCAATTCCAGATCCCATCCCAGTTGTTATTCCAGATCCCATTTCTGATCCCATCCCAGGTCCCATTCCAGATCCCATTCCAGGTCTCCTTCCAAGTCCTATTCCACATCCCAATCCAGTTCCTATTCCAGGTCCTTTTCAAGATCCCGTTCCAGGTCCTATCAGAGATCCTTTTCCAGGTCTCATTCCAGATCCCATCCCAGTTCCTATTCCATATCACATTCCAAATCCCATTCCAGATCCTTTCCCAGATCCCATCCCAGATCCCATTCCAGATCCTATTCCAGGTCCTGTCCCAGATCCTATTTCAGGTCCCATTCCAGTTCCTATTCCAAATCCCATTCCAGATCCTTTCCCAGATCCCATTCCAGATGGTTTTCCAGACCCAATTCCTGGTCCCATTCCAGATCCTATCCCACATCCCATCCCAGACCCAATTCCACATCCTGTTCCAGTTCCTATTCCAGGTCCTGTCCCAGATGCTATTCCAGCTCCCATTCCAGGTCCCATTTCAGATCCTATCCCAGATCCCATTCCTGATCCCATTCCAGATCCTTTTCCAGATGCTATTCCAGATCCCATTCCAGATCTCATTCTATTTCTTATTCCAGATCCTTTCCCAGACCAAATTCCACATCCAATTCCAGATCCTACCCCAGATCCAATTCCAAATCCCATTCCAGATCCTTTTCCAAGTCCCATTCAAAATTCTATTCCAGATCCCATTCCAGACCCAATTCCACGTCAATTCTAGATCCGTTTCCAGATCCTATTCCAGTTCCTATTCCAAACCCTTTTCCAGGTCCCATTCCAGATCCTGTTCCAAGTCCTGTTGCAGATCTCATTCCAGGTCCCGTTCCAGGTCCTGCTCCATTCCCTGGCTTCTTTTCTTGGGATAAATCAGATCCAGGGAATCTGATCCTCTGTTCTGGTCACTTCCAGCTTTTCCATTGGGATCCTGTCCCAGATCCTATCCAAAATCCCATCCCAGGTCCTATTCCAAATCCTATCCCAGATCCCATTCCATGCAAAAAAAGCCTTTCATGATTCCAGGGGATCCTGGGAATTCTGCGTGTTGGGAATGTGGGGGTGGGATTGGGATGGGGATATTTGGGAATGTGGGGATGGGACTGGGAACACCCAGGGGATGTGGGAATGGGAATATTGGGGAATTCAGGGCATGAAGATCCTGGAATTGTATCCCAACAAATCCTTTATTGAGTACTGGGAATTTTGATTGGGGCAGATATTGATCCCTGGCAGATTCCCACTGGGAATGTCAGGTGTGGGGAATGTGGGGATGGGACTGGGGACACTGAGGGATGTGGGAATGGGAACATTGGGGGAATTCAGGACATGAAGATCCTGGAACTGTATCCCAAAAAATCCTTTACAGAGCAGTGGGAATTCTGATCCTGGTAGATCCAGGTGGATCCCAGTGGATCCCATTGGAATTCTGTGGTGTGGGGAATGTGGGGATGGGACTGGGGACACCCAGGGGATGAGGGAATGGGAACATTGGGGAATTCAGGACACAAAGAGCCTGGAATTGTATCCAAAAAAGCCTTCATTGAGCCTTGGGAATGGGAATTCCAATGGTGGCGGATCCCAGTGGATCCTGTTGGGAATGTCAGGTGTAGGGAATGTGGGGATGGGAACATTGGGGAATTCAGGACACAAAGAACCCAGGATCATATCCAAAAAAATCCTTTCATGAGCACTGGGAATTTTGATTGTGGCAGATACAGATGGATCCCTGGCAGATTCCCACTGGGAATGTCAGGTGTAGGAATGTGGGGGTGGGATTGGGATGGGGATATTTGGGAATGTGGGGATGGGCCTGGGGACACCCAGGGGATGTGGGAATGGGAATATTGGGGAATTCAGGACACGAAGATCCTGGAATTGTACCCAAAAAATCCTCCCATGAGCCCTGGGAATTCTGATCCTGGTGGATCCCTACGTGTAGGGAATGTGGGGATGGGATTGGGATCCTCAGGAATGTGGGAATTGGGATGGGAATAGGGACAATGAGGGATGTGGGAATGGGAATATTGGGAATTCAGGGCATGAAGATCCTGGAATTGTATCCCAAAAAAACCTTTATTCAGTACTGGGAACAGGAATTCTGATGGTGGCAGATCCCAGTGGATCAGGTCAGGAATGCCAGGTGTAGGGAATGTGGGAATGGGAATATTGGGGAATTCAGGGCATGAAGATCCTGGAACTGTATCCCAAAAAATCCTTTACAGAGCAGTGGGAATTCTGATCCTGGTAGATCCAGGTGGATCCCATTGGAATTCCGTGGTGTGGGGAATGTGGGGATGGGACTGGGGACACTGAGGGATGTGGGAATGGGAATATTGGGGAATTCAGGGCACAAAGAGCTGGGATCGTATCCCAAAAAAGCCTTTACTGAGCGCTGGGAATGGGAATTCTGATACTGGCGGATCCTAGGAGTGCCACAGGTAGGGAATGTGGGGATGGGATTGGGAATGGGGATATTTGGGAATGTGGGAATGGGAACACTGCGGGATTCAGGACACAGAGAGTCTGGAAATGTATCCAAAAAAAGCCTTTATTGAGTGCTGGGAATTCCAAAGGCAGCAGATCCCGATGGATCCCATTGGATCCAGGCGGAGCCCGCTGGATCCTTGTGGGAAGGTCAGGTGTGGAGAATGTGGGGATAAAGATGTGGGGATGGGAATATCAGGAATTCAGCACACAAAGATGTTCGGGATCATATCCAAAAAAAGCCTTTATTGAGAACAGTGAATTCTGAAAGCAGCAGATCCCGCTGGGTCCGGGTGGATCCCTGTGGATCCCGGTGGGAAGGTCAGCTGGAGAGGCACACGGTGCCATTGGAGAAGAGCCGGGGATCCCTCTGGATCCAGCTGGATCCACTGGGTCCCTGTGGATCGGGTGCAGAGGCGCAGGGTGCCGTCGGCGCCCAAGGAGAAGAGCCAGGGCTGCTGGGGGTGGATCCTGCAGGATCCCGGTGGATCTCACTGGAACCCCGGTGGATCCCAGAGGACCCCAATGGATCCCGGTGGATCCCACTGGATCGGGTGCAGAGGCGCACGGTGCCGTCGGCGCCCGAGGAGAAGAGCCAGAGCTGCTGGGGGTGGATCCCACTGGAACCCCATGGATCTGGGTAGATCCAGGTGGATCCCAGGTGGATCCCGTTGGATCATGTGTAGACGGCACTGGAGGAGAAGAGCCAGGGCTACTGGGGGTGGATCCAGGTGGAACCCACTGGAACCCTGGTGGATCTTGGTGGATCCCTGAGGATTCCTGTTGGATCAGGTGCAGAGTCTGACGGTTCCGTCGGCCCCGGAGGAAAAGATCCAGGGCTGCTGGGGGTGGATCCAGGTGGAACCGCAGTGGACCCCACTGGAACCCCGTGGATCCCAGTGGGTCCCAGTGGGTCCCAGGCGGATCCTGTTGGATCAGGTGTAGAGTCTGACGGTGCCGTCGGCCCCGGAGGAGAAGATCCAGGGCTGCTGGGGGTGGAAGGCGACGTCGAGCACGCCGAGGTCCAGGGTGGGCGCGTGGCCCTTGAGCACCTTGAGCGGCACCAGCAGCGCGTTCTGCAGCAGGTCACTGCCACGGGGAGAGGGGGAGAGGGGGAATGATGGCACCGGAATGGGAACGCTCTCAATGGGAATGGGGATTCTGGCAGTGGGAATGGGAATTCTGACACCGGGAATGGGAATTGTCTCAATGGAAACGGGAATTCTGACAGTGGGAATGGGAATTGTCTCAATGGAAACGGGAATTCTGACAGTGGGAATGGGAATTCTGACAGTGGGAATGGGAATTGTCTCAATGGAAACGGGAATTCTGGCACCGGAATGGGAATGATGGGAATGGGGATGGGAATGATGGCAGTGGGAATGGGAATGATGGGAGGGGGAACAGGAATTCTCACAGTGCAGATGGGAATTCTTACATTGGGAATGGGAATTCTTACATTGGGAATGGGAATTCTGACACTGGGGATGGGAATTCTCACAGCAGGGATGGGAATTCTGACAGAGGGGATGGGAATGCTGGCACTGGGGATGGGAATGACAGGAGTGGGGATGGGAATTCTGACACCAGGAATGGGCATTCTGACAGTGGGAATGGGAATTCTGACAGTGGGAATGGGAATTGTCTCAATGGAAACGGGAATTCTGACACCGCAATGGGAATGATGGGAATGGGGATGGGAATGATGGCAGTGGGAATGGGAATGATGGGAGGGGGAACGGGAATTCTCACAGTGGGGATGGGAATTCTGACAGTAGGGATGGGAATTCTCACTCTGGGAATGGGAATTCTGGGAGGGGGAATAGGAACTCTGACAGAGGGAATGGGAATTCTGACAGTGGGCATGGGAATTCTGACACCAGGAATGGGAGTTCTGGGAGTAGGAATTGGAATTCTGACACTGGGGATGGGAATTCTGAAACTGGGGGTGGGAATTCTGGGAGCAGGAATGGGAATTCTCACACTGGGAATGGGAATGCTGACACCGGGAATGGGAATTCTGGCAGTGGGGATGGGAATTCTGGGAGTGGGGATGGGAATTCTGACACCGGGAATGGGAATGCCGGGAGTGAGAATGGGAATTCTGACACTGGGAATGGGAATGATGGCAGTGGGGATGGGAATTCTGGGAGTGGGGATGGGAATGCCGGGAGTGAGAATGGGAATTCTGACACTGGGAACAGGAATGATGGCAGTGGGGATGGGAATTCTGGGAGTGGGGATGGGAATGCCGGGAGTGAGAATGGGAATTCTGACACTGGGAACAGGAATGATGGCAGTGGGGATGGGAATTCTGACACCGGGAATGGGAATGCCGGGAGTGAGAATGGGAATTCTGACACTGGGAATGGGAATGATGGCAGTGGGGATGGGAATTCTGGGAGTGGGGATGGGAATGCCGGGAGTGAGAATGGGAATTCTGACACTGGGAACAGGAACGATGGCAGTGGGGATGGGAATTCTCACATTGAGGATGGGAATTCCCAGAGGTTTGCCCACCATGGGACCCCCAGAACTGCTGCTCCCACCCCCGGATCCCAGTGGGAAGGAGCCAATCCCAGGTAATTCTGGGATTCCCCAAAAGCTCCCCAAAAACACCTCTGGACCCCAAGAAGCCCAGAAAGAGGGATCTGATCCTGGAAATCCCACAAATTCCATAAATCCCGTCAATCCCGTAAATCCCATAAATAAATTCATAAATCCCATAAATAAATTCATAAATCCCATATATCAATCCCATAAATCCCATAAATAAATCCCATCAATTCCCATAAATAAATCCTACAAATCTCATAAATAAATCCCATAAATCAATCCCGTAAATAAATCCCACAAATCCCGTAAATAAATCCTGTAAATAAATCCATAAACCCCATAAATAAATCCATAAATCCAATCCATAAATCCCATCAATCCCATTAATAAATCCTATAAATTGCCATAAATAAATTCCATTAATCCCACAAATAAATCCATAAATCCCATAAATCAATTCCATAAATCTCCTAAATAAATCCAGTAAATAAATCCCATAAATAAATCCTATAAACAAATCCCAGAAATAAATCCCATAAATAAATCCATAAATTCCACAGATAAATCCCCTAAAGAAATCCCATAACTAAATACATAAATCCCATAAATAAATCCCCTAAATAAATCCCATAAATCCCACAAACAAATCCCATAAATCCCACAAACAATTCCTGTGAATCCTACAAATAAATCCCATAAATCCCATAAATAAATCCATAAATCCCATAAATCAATTCCATAAAATCCCACAAACAAATCCCATAAATAAATCCCATAAATAAATCCCATAAATAAATCCATAAATCCCATAATTAAATCCCATAAATAAATCCATAAATCCCCTAAACAAATCCCATAAATCCCACAAACGAATCCCATGAATCCCACAAGGAAATCCCATAAATCTCCCAGACAATTCCCGTGAATCCAACACATAAATCCCACAAATCCCACAGATAAATCGCATAAACTGTGTAAATAAATCCCGTAAATAATCCATAAATCCCATAAATTCCCATAAATAAATCCCCTAAATAAATCCCTAAATCCTATTTAAAAATCCCATAAATTAATTCTTAAATCCCATAAACAAATCCCATAAACCCATAAATCCCATAAATCATTCTCAAAAAAACCCCACTAATAAATCCATAAATCCCATAAATAAATCCCACAAATAAATCAATAAATCCTATAAACAAATCCCATAATAAATCCATACATCCCCTAAATAAATCCCATAAACAAATCCCGTAAATAAATCCATAAATCTCACAAATTCATCTCATAAAATCCCACAAATAAATCCCATACATAAATCCATAAATCCCATAAACAAATCCCACAAATAAATCCATAAATCTCAAAGATAAATACTATGATTCCCACAAATAAATCCATAAATTCCTTAAATAAATCCTGTGAATCCCATAAATAAATTCATAAATCCCACAAATAAATCCCACAAATAAATCCATAAATCCCATAAATAAATCCCATAAATAAATCCATAAATCCGATAAATAAAATCCCGCAAATTAATCCCTTAAATCAATCCATAAATCCCACAAATAAATCCCATAAATTCCCTAAATAAATCCCATATTTCCCCTAAATAAATCCCATAAATCCTATGACAATTCCCGGTGAATCCCACAAACAAACCCCACAAATCCCATGACAATTCCCGATGAATCCCACAAACAAATTCCACAAATCTCCTAAATAAATCCCACAAATCCCATGACAATTCCCGGTGAATCCCACAAACAAATCCCACAAATCCCACAAACAAATCCCGTAAATCCCGTGACAATTCCCGGTGAATCCCACAGACAAATCCCATAAATCCCCTAAATAAATCCCACAAATCCCATGACAATTCCTGGTGAATCCCACAAACAAATCCCATAAATCCCACAAACAAATCCCGCAAATCCCGTGACAATTCCCGGTGTATCCCACAAATCCCCTAATTAAATCCCGTAAATCCCATGACAATTCCGGTGAATCCCACAAACAAATCCCACAAATCCCCCAAATAAATCCTGTAAATCCCGTGACAATTCCCAGTGAATCCCACAAACAAATCCCATAAATCCCACAGACAATTCCCATCAATCCCCAAAATAAATCCCATTGAATCCCACAAACAAATCCCATAAATCCCACAAACAAATCCCATAAATCCCGTGACAATTCCCGGTGAATCCCACAAACAAACCCCACAAATCCCACAAACAAATCCCGCAAATCCCATGACAATTCCCGGTGAATCCCACAAACAAATCCCACAAATCTCCTAAATAAATCCCACAAATCCCATGACAATTCCCGGTGAATCCCACAAACAAATCCCATAAATCCCACAAACAAATCCCATAAATCCCGTGACAATTCCCGGTGAATCCCACAGACAATTCCCATCAATCCCCAAAATAAATCCCATAAATCCCCCAAACAATTCCCGTAAATCCTGTGACAATTCCCGGTGAATCCCACAAACAATTCCCATAAATCCCCCAAACAAATCCCACAAATTCAGTGACAATTCCCGGTGAACCCCACAAACAATTCCCACAAATCCCCTAAATAAATCCCGTGACAATTCCCGGTGAATCCCACAGACAAATCCCATAAATCCCACAAAGAAATCCCATAAATCCTGTGACAATTCCCGGTGAATCCCACAAACAAATCCCACAAATCCCCTAAATAAATCCCGTAAATCCCATGACAATTCCCGGTGAATCCCACAAGTGAATCCCGTAAATCCCACAGACAATTCCCATCAATCCCCAAAATAAATCCCATAAATCCCCCAAACAATTCCCGTAAATCCTGTGACAATTCCTCGTGAATCCCACAAACAATTCCCATAAATCCCACAAACAAATCCCACAAATTCAGTGACAATTCCCGGTGAATCCCACAAACAATTCCCACAAATCCCCTAAATAAATCCCGTGACAATTCCCGGTGAATCCCACAGACAAATCCCATAAATCCCACAAACAAATCCCATAAATCCCGTGACAATTCCCGGTGAATCCCACAAACAAACCCCACAAATCCCACAAACAAATCCCGCAAATCCCATGACAATTCCCGGTGAATCCCACAAACAAATCCCACAAATCTCCTAAATAAATCCCACAAATCCCATGACAATTCCCAGTGAATCCCACAAACAAATCCCATAAATCCCACAAACAAATCCCATAAATCCCGTGACAATTCCCGGTGAATCCCACAAACAAATCCCACAAATCCCCTAAATAAATCCCATAAATCCCCCAAACAATTCCCGTAAATCCTGTGACAATTCCCGGTGAATCCCACAAACAATTCCCATAAATCCCCCAAACAAATCCCACAAATTCCGTGACAATTCCCGGTGAATCCCACAAACAATTCCCACAAATCCCCCAGACCAGTCCCGTAAATCCCGTGACAGTTCCGCACTTGTAGACCATGCCGTGGCAGACGATGACGGAGCCGTCGTCGGAGCCGGAGGCGAACAGGGGGTAGCGGCGGTGGAACGCCACCGAGCGCACGGCGCGGCCGTGGTGCCTGACGCGGGGAGGGAAAAGTGGGAATCAGAACGGGAAAAACAACCGGGAAAACACCGGGAAAAATGGGAATTAGCACCAGGAAAAATGGGAATCAGAATGGGAAAAATACTGGGAAAAATGGGAATTGGCAATGGCATAAACACCGGGAAAAATGGGAATTAGCACCGGGAAAAATACTGGGAAAAATGGGAATTAGAACAGGGAAAACACTGGGAAAAACGGGAATTAGCGCTGGGAAAAACACTGGGAAAAATGGGAATTAGCACTAGGAAAAACACCAAGAAAAACACCAGGAAAAATGGGAATTAGCACTGGGAAAATCAGAATGGGAAAAATACTGGGAATCAGCAATGGGAAAAAATCAGAACAGGGGAAACCAGGAATCAGGACAGGGAAATCACCGGGAAAATGGGAATTAGCACTGGGAAAACAGCGGGAAAATGAGAACTAGAGCAGGAAAAACAACGGGGAAAATGGGAATTAGCAGTGGGAAAAACACTGGGAAAAATGGGAATTAGAGCAGGGAAAACAACGGGAAAAATGGGAATTAGCACCAGGAAAAATACCGGGAAAAATACCAGGAAAAATGGGAATTAGAATAGGGAAAACACTGGGAAAAACGGGAATTACAGCTGGGAAAAACACTGGGAAAAATGGGAATTGGCTCTAGGAAAAACGGGAATGAGAGCTGGGATAAACAACGGGGAGAATGGGAATCAGAGCCAGGAAAACAATGGGGAAAATGGGAATCAGAACAGGGAAAAAGAACAGGGAAAAACACCGGGAAAAATGGGAATCAGCAGTGGGAAAAACACCAGGAAAAACATCAGGAAAAACACTGGGAAAACCAGGAAGCACTGGAAAAACAGGATAGACACCAGGAAAAACTGGGAATTAGCGCCCAGGAAAAACAGGAATCAGCACTGGGAAAAACACCGGGAAAAACATCGGGAAAAACACCAGGATAAACAGGAATTAGAGCCTGGAAAAACACCGGGAAAAACGGGAATTAGCATCAGGAAAAACACCGGGAAAACAGGAATCAGCACAGGGAAAACTGGAATTAGAGCCTAGGAAAAACATTGGGAAAAACGGGAGTCAACAATGGGAAAACAACAGGAAAAATGGAAATCAGCGCTGGGAAAAACACCGGGATAGACACAGGGAAAAAAATGGAATTAGAGTCTGGAAAAATGGGAATTACCAACAGGAAAAACACAGGGAAAACCACTGGGAATAATGGCAATTAGAACCCAGGAAAAACACCGGGAATCAGCACTGGGAAAACGGGATAAATGGGAAAAAAAGGAATTAGAGCCTGGAAGAACAGGAATCAGAGCAGGGGAAATGGGAAAAACACCAGGAAAAATGGGAATTAGCACCAGGAAAAACACTGGAAAAAACGGGACTTGGGAGTCTGGGAAAAACACCGGGATAGACACTGGGAAAAACGGGAATTAGAGTCCGGGAAAACGAGAAAGACACGGGGAAAAACGGGAATCAGCACCAGGAGAAACGGGAATCAGCACTGGGAAAAAACACCGGGAATCAGGGAAAAACGGGAATCAGAGCCCAGGAAATGGGACAGACACGGGGAAAACCGGGATTTAGAGCCCGGGAGAATGGGAATCGGCACTGGGAAAACGGGACAGACACAGGAACCCCAGGACTCACCTCAGCAGCCGGTAGGGCCGCGTGGACAGGTCCAGGTCAAACCAGGCCAGCTTGCTGTCGTAGCTGCCGCAGATCACGTTGTCCCCTAGGGAACAGCGCCGGGATCAGCGGGATCCCCTCATTCCCACCGGGAATCCCCTCATTCCCACCGGGAATCCCCTCATTCCCGGGGGGATCGCGCACCTCCGGGGTGCACGGCCATGCTGGAGATCCACTGGCAGTTGCTCTGCAGCTTCTTGGTGAGCTCCTGGCGCAGCAGGTTGTAGACGCGCACGGAGCGCTGCGAGGCCACCAGGAAGTAGGGCCGCACCGGGTGGAACCGCACGCACTGGATCATCCCCGGGCTCCTCCGGAACGGGGTCCTGGCTCCAGCGCCGGCTGCTCTGGTGGATCAGCACCTGCCGGCCGCCCGGGTTCCGCACCACCGACGCCCAGTAGTCGCCCTTGCCGTGCCACGTCACCTGCGTCACCGGCTGGAACGGGATCAGGAATGGGATCCGGGTGAGATCCCGAAATCCCGACCCTCTGGATCATCCCTGAGCTCCTTAAGGTGGGATTGAGATGGAAATCCGAGTGAGATCCCAAAATCCCGACCCTTTGGATCACCGCCGACGCCCAGTAGTCGCCCTTGCCGTGCCACGTCATCTGCGTCACCGGCTGGGAATGGGAAAGAGAAAGGAACGGGATACAGGTGAGATCCCAAAATCCCGACTCTCTGGATCACCACTGAGGCCCAGTAGTCGCCCTTGCCGTGCCACGTCACCTGCGTCACCGGCTGGGAATGGGAAAGAGAAAGGAATGGGATCCAGGTGAGATCCCGATCTTCCGAATCATCCTGGAGCTCCTCAGGATGGGAATGCGAATGGGATTGCGATTGGGATCCAGGTGAGATCCCAAAATCCCGACCCTCTGGATCAACACCGACGCCCAGCAGTCGCCCTGGCCGTGCCACGTCACCTGCGTCACCGGCTGGGAATGGAAATGGGATTGGGATTGGGATCTGGGTGAGATCCCGAAATCCCGACCGTCTGGATCACCATGGAGACCCTGGCTGTGCCACGTCACCTGTGTCACAGGCTGGGAATGCAATGGGAATGGGATTGGGATCCGGGTGAGATCCCAAAATCCCGACCCTCTGGATCACCACTGAGGCCCAGGAATTGCCCTTGCCGTGCCACGTCACCTGCGTCACCGGCTGGGAATGGGATTGGGATCAGAAATGGGATCAGGAATGGGATGCAGGTGAGATCCCAACCCTCTGAATCATCCTGGAGCTCCTCAGGATGGGAATGGGAATGGCATTGCCATTGGGATCCAGGTGAGATCCCAAAATCCCGACCCTCTGGATCACCCCAGAGCTCCTTGGGGTGGGAATGGGATTGGGAATAGGAATGGGATCCAAGTGAGATCCCAAAATCCCGACCCTCTGGATCACCATGGAGGCCCGGGAACCGCCCTGGCTGTGCCACATCACCTGCATCACTGACTGGGAACGGAATGGGACTGGGATATGGGTGAGATCCTGAGATTCTGACCCTCTGGATCATCCCAGGGCTCCTTGGGGTGGGATTGGGAATGGGATCCGGGTCAGATCCCAAGATCCCGACCCTCTGGATCACCACTGAGGCACAGGAATCGCCCTGGCTGTGCCCCCGTCACCTGCGGGGAATGGAATGGAATGGGATTGGGAATTAGGATCAGGTGAGATCTCAAGAACTTGAGCCTCTGGATCATCCCAGAGCTCCTCAAGGTGGGATTGAGATGGCAATCTGAGTAAGATCCCAAAATCCCGACCCTCTGGATCATCCCAGGGCTCCTCAAGGTGGGATTGAGATGGCAATCTGAGTAAGATCCCAAAATCCCGACCCTCTGGATCATCCCAGGGCTCCTCAAGGTGGGAATGGGACTGGGATTGGGACCTGGGTGAGATCCTGAAATCCCGACCCTCTGGATCACCACTGAGGCCCAGGAATCGCCCTTGCCGTGCCACGTCACCTGTGTCACCGGCTGGGAATGGAATGGGATTGGGATCGGGATCAGGAACGGGATCTGGGTGAGATCCCAAAATCCCAACCCTCTGGATCACCATGGAGACCCTGGCTGTGCCATGTCACCTGCATCACCAGCTGGGAATGGAATGGGAACGGGAATTGGGTCAGATCCTGAAATCCCGACCCTCTGGATCAACATCAGGGCCCAGTAGTCACCCGTGCCGTGCCACGTCACCTGCGTCACCGGCTGGGAATGGGATTGGGATCAGAAATGGGATCAGGAATG